CCCCAAAACCCCAAAACCCCAAAACCCCAAAACCCCAAAACCCCGCTTGCCTTTATAATTCTTGAAAATTTTAAATTAAATATTTATGAGAGAAGAGGGTATCCATTCTAGGTCAAAAACTAATCGTAGGAGAAGCCAAAGCGAGGAACCAGAATTCCTTATCCAAGATGAGATCTTTATTATTAACAAGCACAAGCTAAAAAGCCCCATTGAGGATGACTTTGAATATGAGATTCTTATTGATGGGTCAGATACTTATAGTGATGGGAGGCATCTTGATGGCTATCGTGAAGGCGACGACGAAAGCGACAAGTACTTCTGACCTATTACCGGAGCACATTTTGAGTACTCCGAAATAATTAGGAAGCTTAAAAAGATAGCTAAAAGATCAAATGACCTATCATTGAAAACTAAGAATTAAACTCACAGTGAGAGGAGAACTTACGAAGAGCTCTCTCGATGAGGATTTGAAGTTTAAAGATATGATGAACAACAAAATATGTAATTTATTGTCTATTTACCAAATTTATAGATCAAACTCAGAGCAGTACGGTGATTTATTTAAAATTACATATTTTTCATCATTTTCTTCTAAGATTAACATCCACACAGAGCTTCTTCATACTGGGACAGTAGTATCAACCATTACAAATCCCAGAGAGTTCGAGCTAAGGACTCTTGAGACCGTGGATAACAAAGCACATAACAAAATAATTGAAAAGGAGAACTCTTACCAGGACCAGTTCAAACTCTGCAGGAAAAGTAACCTCAGCCAGATGGGTAAATTAGGCAGCAATTTTGCAACAGAGGATCTCAGTAAGTATCGAACTGTCCTTAGTCTCTGTGAATTACAGTTTTAAGGGATAGAAAATTAACAAAGAGATTGACAACAGATTATTTTGAATATAAGAAGAGTTTTGTGAATTTTTATATTTCCAACCTTTCTTCACTCTGGTAGTGCTTTAATTTCAAATAGAAAATGGCAAGAAGCAAGCTAGTCCACTAGGTATTTATGCAGAGTCAGCTACTTTTGATGAATTTTGCAAATCGATTAATGGGAAGTTCAGCACTAGTATGATAAAAGGAGCTAAAAACAAGAGAATCTTGATACCAAAATAACTCAATAAAAACACCGTCAAAGTCTTCAAAAAATAAGGTCAAGAAGAGCAAACCCCGAAAGGGAGCTGAGTCTTGTCGGATTGAGAAATATCTCAAGAATGCTGAGAAGTTCAGCTATCCTGGAAGTAGTCTCTCAATTCATCATCCTGAGAGTACACAGTTTTCCACAATTGATAGTAAAAAGATGAAGATCTTTAAGAAGAACAAGATTATTAACAGTACAAATTTATCTAAGATGATCAAGAGGAAGAAGTATACTAATAATATGAAGTCAGGAGACTACCGCCTAGGAAATGAAATCAATATCACTAACTGTAAGAACTACGACAGAGTCAATATAAAGGGCCTTTTCAAATCCAAATGAATTCCTGTAAAGACAGCCCTCCCCCATAATAGTAAGAAGAGAAGTAGCAGTAAGAGCAAGAGTAAGAGCAAAGGTGCGAAGGCTAAGTACCAGCTCTCGTCTTATTCCGTCAAGCTGAAGAAGACAACAAAACAGGACCCTAGCCTTAATGGGCTGAGTACTCGTGAGAAATCGTCCAAGCTTTCACATATTTTTGACTTCAACAATGTTAATAATTACAAAAGCGTCCCAAAGAAGAAGATCAATAAGAGGAGTCTGGAGAAGAAGGCTTTTAAGAAGCTCAACTTTAAGAAGAGGGTTAAGCAGAAAAACGGTACATTTGACTTTAATAACCTCCAAGTCCAAGGGACTGGTAAGAAAGAGAAACCTGCATCCAAGTCAAGGTCGAAGAAGCGGCAAAGCTTAGAAGCTTGTAGATAGATTAGATGATAATCACTAAAGTTCCCAACAAATTATTTGGCTAGAAAGTATCATTAGCCAGGGTAATAGGCTAAGGTTAGTTTAGCAAGCTCAATTATGCTTTAAGTAAAACTTTCCTTCAAACAAGAGACTTCAGCAATGGAAATCATCTTTATGGCATTTCTTAGCTAAATTTTAGTTAAAAATGTGTGTAATATACTTTTATTAAGTTTTATCGAAAAAGTTATAAGGATGTGTAATGATAAATTTGTATATACCAAGAAAAATTGAGAGCAAATTTGTACCAAAAATGCAGCTTGAAAGAGAGTAGATGCATAATTAGCTAGTTTTCGTATATAAATCTTAGGAAAATCAAATTGAACAAAATGCAACTCATATGCACAAAATGTTACTGTGTCCTCTTCATCATTTAGAAGAAGACTGGAAGTACTTTCTTAGTCCCTCCACTATTATATCACATGATCCAAATAGCAACACCCATCCTGATTTATATCAAGCATCTTGCAAATGGCTTAGATTTCTATTTAAATTTTGACTTTCAAGAATCTGTGTCTTTCAAAGCCACATCTTCTTATACAAATTTATCAATGCAAAATGAATGGGCAAGATACTTTGTGTAACCACCAATTAGTTAGATGTTAATAAGCTAGTCCACTTCATTAAGTAAGGAGATCCTCTATTTTGTTTGAAGCAGCGTGAGAGAATGGCGCAAACAATTTCATGAGAATAGAGAATATTATGCATGCTCAATATTTAAGTATGTTAGCGGGGTTTTGGGGTTTTGGGGTTTTGGGGTTTTGGGG